GGGGAAGGATCAAAGCGCTTTGATTCCTGTTTTCCCCTTCTTCTTTTTGTAAAGAAAGTCGAAGGGGAAAGCACTTTCCTCGCAAGAAAGTTGAGGGGGAAAGCAGGAATCACTATGCAGCTGACCTCACTATGCAGCTGACCAAACTGGAATTATCTGAATTTATTGATTGATAATATTTATATACCACCTTTCTCCTGACAGGGATCCAAGGTTGCTCACAACAGATAAAACAAGATTTTAAAATATTATATAAATATCCTATTTTTAAAAAGTTAAATATTAAGATTTTTTAAACCAAGTTTAAAAACAATTTAAAAACATTTAAAAATTGAACCTGATCTTTCTGGCTGAAACTAAGCATCCACAGGGATGTCAAAATTAAAGTATGTTATAGCACTACAGCATAGCATGACATGCCACGCCATCAAACTGAAAGATTAAACCACTCCATTATGCCACCATCTTTGATCACTGAGTAAAAGAGTAGCAGGATCCTACATTGTCCATGCCGAATTTAGAAGGTATGTAAATCGCGTGATCTAGCTGCACTCACTGAAATATGCAGTGTAGTTGTCTTTTTTGACCTGGGCCGCTCACCATCCTTCGGGGTCCCTGACTGATAATGAATAGGAAAGAAGAAGCAGGGATAAAAGAAGTTGATGAAGATGATGATGACAAAGAGAAAGAGAAAAATGAAGAGATACAATACTATATTTCAGCTGTATAACAAGCTACTACATTTCACAAACTTTTCTCACCCGGTGCTGTTAACAATGTTTAAAAATAATATAAAATTAATTTATCTAACCATATTTCAAAAGCATGATTCATACAACGCTCAGGAACTTTGACTATATCGATTGTCAAAATTCTTAGAGAGCTCCACATGGAATCTTTATCGTGGTCATGATCCAATGGTATTTTCTCTGAATTCTGTTTCTCTCACCAGCAAAATATTTAACTACCGTGTTTCTCCGAAAATAAGACAGGGTCTTATATTAATTTTTGCTCCAAAAAAGCAGCAGGGCTTATTTTCAGGGGATTTTTTTTTTTTCATGTACAACAATCTACATTTATTCAAATACAGTCATGTCATCTTCTGGTTGCTGCACAGTGGTGGAGGGCGGGCTTTCACTTGACTGGGGATTATTTGGGGGGTTGGTCTTATATTACAAGCATCCTGAAAAATCATACTAGGGCTTATTTTCAGGTTAGATCTTATTTTCAGGGAAACAGAGTTATGCCTGAGCTCTAGGAGTTTCAATGTTCGGGCATTTTTTTAAAAATTCCTCCACAAACCAGAGAACCCCATTCTCCTTGGCTATACTGGAGGAAGTCAAAATGAAACATGGATGAAACTAACACTTGGCCTCTCTCCTTCTAAAAAACCTACTTCAAAGAGCCAATTTATTGTCACTATAACTATAAGCAGGGCCTGATCCCCCCCCCGCTTATTTCCTCACTGTTCTTCCCTCCTTTGTTATCTACCACATTTGACTATACAAGTAGTACTGCAACCATATATGCTGATGTGCAGGCTTCTACCTAACCAGCTGTGCCCTCCTTAAGGATAACTCTACTCCTTTTCCCCTTACACTGATTTCTTCACCCCAACTCCCCATCCAATTCCTTTTGTCACTAATGTGCACAATTAGTTCTCACTGGCTTCCTTAGTACAAAGGATGCTCTCATGTCAGGGTTTCCCATCTGTTGAGGTGCATTCCTAAGGCCTTCAGATCCCCCTTGCAGATATCCTTGTATAGCAACTGGGGTCTCCCTCTGGGGCGATTTCCCTGCACTAATTCTCCATACAGGAGATCCTTTGGAATCCGACCATCAGCCATTCTCACGACGTGCCCGAGCCAACGTAGACGTCGCTGTTTCAGTAGTGTATACATACTAAAAATTCTAGCTCGATCTAGGACTACTCTATTTGGGACTTTGTTCTGCCAGGTGATACCAAAAATGTGTCTGAGACAACACATATGGAACGTATTCAGCTTCCTCTCCTGCTGTGCACAGAGGGTCCAGGACTCACTGCAGTACAGGAGTGTGCTCAGGACACAGGCTCTATAGACCTGGATCTTGGTATGTGTTGTCAGCTTCTTATTGAGCCATACTCTCTTTGTGAGTCTAGAGAACATGGTAGCTGCTTTGCCAATGCGGATTACATGCTAGTTTCAGTTGTATAGATCCCAGTTTTTCATTTCAAAGAGGGATTGTGACTACCAAGATATTCTTATTTGTTTACTTGCTCTACAGCAATAGCATGCTGGGATAATGAAACATATAGTCCAGTGTATCTTGAGGGGAGCAAGCAGGGATGCATGATTTGTGATGCTGAAATGGTAGCAAATCAAGTTATTTTTAATCTGCATGAAAAGGTTATTCTGCTTCTTGTAATTGTTACTTTTCTAGTGAGTAAGAGGAGTTATATTCTTTTTTAAATTGTTTTAATAAACATACATTAAACTACACAATCCAAACTTAAAGAAATTTTAAAAAACAGAAAAATGGAGGAAACAAATAAAACACAATTTTGTACACAATAGATCAACCTTTTACACATTAATATAGGGATAATATTTTTGGAGTACATGAAAAATTAAACCAGCATGTCAACAAAAATCAATAAAAGTTTAAGAGAACAAGCTGAAGAAGGATGCTTGCCATGCAACAACACATCTCATCACATTTGAAGAATACATTTGCAAATAAAAGTCATTTATTCTTACCTTAGATTCAGCTTCCAGATACAGTTTAGCTACTGGACCAAATAACACTAAATCTAATTTCCGAGGATCGATATCATCTGGTAGAAGAAAATACTCCATATGATAAAAACGATGCATTCTTGGAATAGACCCTTCCCTTATTTTAGATGCAGTCCTTGGAAGATCATGTCTAGAGGCCATCCAAGGCCTATGGGCTAGAAAAATATCCCAACATCAATTTTGAAAAATACAGATCATCAAATTCCATTCTATGCAACAGCACACACAAACATGAGGTGGCATATATTATCTTTTTAATGTATTTAAACTGTTTTAAGCCGCCCGGAGACCTTCGGGTAGTGTGGGCAGCATATGAGGATGTTTGCCCAATACAAGCCCTTCAATGAGACTTAAGAATGAACTCCATGGCATTTTGGCCTTGCAACCCAGTCTGCAACGTGGAGATAAAAACAAAAGATACTCCTTCAGTTATGAGACACTAACTCCATTGTTAAACAGGAGCCTAGTAACATTGAACACTAGTATTGAGCTGCTGGAAATGTCTCTACACCTTACCCACAGTGTAAAGAACACTACAGTGAACTGTACTGCAGAAATAACACACAGTCTCCAGCTGCAGTTCCTGCCTCCTTGCCTGCAGTTGTGTTTGCTTCGGAATGTAAATTCATAGGGACTGGATCAAGCTGTGCCATTTGGCTGATGACCTCCTCCATCAATGCACCTAGAAGAGGGGAATTATACACACATACACGTACACATGCGCGCGTGCGCACGCATGCACACACACAGTCTCTCATGTGCTCTCTTTGCTTCTCATTTCCAAGGTATTTCCTTTTTAAAGAGTAAGGCCGGTAAATCCATGTCCAATACCACCTATATTAAAAACTTGGATTTCTATGACCTGCTTGCTCTCACTACGTACTAATGTCATTCAACGATAGCTTTGCAGTGTGAACCAAGAAGTAACCTATCCAAATAATGAGATTGTTCTCTATGTCCGTTTTATATACACATCTCATGGAAAAGAAGTATAGGGGTATAACCCAAAACATCAGCAATTATTACTCCCTTTTCACATTAAATGATCCAGAGAAAAACCTACTACCTTCACAGAAAATTACGAATTGCCATCACACCCACATCCCCTCACAGCCCAGGCTGAGGGAATCCCTGGACTTACTCAGGACCACTCACACCAAAGTCAAACCATCCAAAAAACCAAGCCCTGGGCTTTGGAATAACCCAGCTCACTAATTAATCACATTCAGGGATAAGTTTACTGAGGCATAGAAATAGGAAATAACTGGTTAGCAACATATTTCCAAATAAGTATGTAATATATAAGCCGCTCCAAGTATATGTAAGCCGCCCCAAGTAGACCTGGTCTAGAGGGGCGGGGTATAAATCCAATTAATTAATTAATTAATTAATTAATTATTCACTCTGTGGCCTGGATAGTGTAACTGCCCAAGCAATCCCTGTCTCTCTCCTCTCCCATGCGCTACAAACCTGCTTCTAGCTTAAGCCCCCCAGCCTTGCCATCATACTTTGTGACACAGGCTTGCTTAATCACACCTGCCTCTTCCTCACCTTTTGCATCAGATGATACAGTATTTCATTCTCCCTTCCACAAAGTTTTCTGCTCCCCAAGTTTGTAAAAAATCTGTATCCACCTAGTATATTCCATTTCAACTGGGATGTACTGTACAGTTCTCTCTAACATATTACCCTCTTTCTACTCATGTAATTTTTTGTTGGTATTTTTGAAAACCCTCGGTTTGTCAATGCTTCCTTCCTTTTACTATGTGACTGCTGCTATCTGTGCTGAATAAGTATAAGCAAAATATAGGAATCGTGGAAGAATATCACTACACTTGTGCATACTTATATGCAAATAGCATGTAATTTTTTGTTGGTATTTTTGAAAACCCTCGGTTTGTCAATGCTTCCTTCCTTTTACTATGTGACTGCTGCTATCTGTGCTGAATAAGTATAAGCAAAATATAGGAATCGTGGAAGAATATCACTACACTTGTGCATACTTATATGCAAATAGAGGTATGGGTATGCACTCTCACTGCACACATACAATTCAAAGACCACTTAGAGCAACAGGAAAAGTTTCAGTATTTAGTTTCTAAGAGCTACATCATGACAAAGCAAACATTTTTGTATTTAACTTGTGTATTTAACAAACAAAGAACTGGTTCAATTGTTTGCAAGTTTCTCCAAACGTCATGAGAACATGGTGTAAACAATCGTTCCCACACCCTATTAGCAATTGATATGGACACAAAATATAAGAGAGAGTTTCACCCTAAGTGAACCCCCCCCCCCAAAAAACTGCTTGATCTGCAGATATTCTGCCCTCAGTATTGCTTTCTTCATTTGAAGGCAAAGCACATATTCAGATACTTTAATGCCCCTTTCTGTTCTTAAAAAGTTTTCTCTCTGCAAACCCTATTAGCAATTGATATGGACACAAAATGTAAGAGAGAGTTTCACCCTAACTAAACCCAAGAAAAACAGCTTGATCTACAGATATTCTGCCCTCAGTATTGCTTTCTCCATTTGAAGGCAAAGCACACATTCATATACTGTAAATGCCCCTTTCTGCTCTTACAAAGTTTTCTCTCTGCAATATATTCTGCTTCATTATGGGGAACTCCAGAATTACATATTATTTTTAAAATTTTGGTAACCTTCCAAAGATAATCCCTGGGACACAAATACCGGTAATTCTCATCTGAATGGATTTTCATCACTGCACCTTCTTCACCACTTTCAGATACAGTATTAGAATAATGTCTAGTAACCAAAGGTGTAGTGGAGTCAGGGCTTATAGGTTTGAAGCCCCCAGGCAGACAGATGGACAGACTCACTCCCTCGTTCCTCCCTCCTTTCATCCCTTCCTTCCTTCTTTCCTTTCTTTCTATACTGCCCCATTAGTACATACACTATCATAGGCAGTTTACAAGAACTTAAAAATTCCACATATCCCACATAACCATACATCTTACAGGTCTTTCCCAAAGCCACTCCTTCAGCTGGACATATGGATACTGCTTCAACCCTATAGACAGAATTTAAGAAAAGAACAGAAGGAAACAATGTCCTTTTGATATACTGCCAGTCTCCCAGCACCTTGCTGCTCTAATGCCACACTTATAGAACACTCTCTGTAAAGATGCCAATGGACCCATGGGTGGCACATGGATTGAAGAAATAGTGCCTGACTTATTAATTAGAAACAATTTGCTCTGAAAACCTATGCAATGGACTTACACAACAACACCACAAATGTAGATCGTCCAGCTTAATAATTTCACATTTGGGAAGGAGATGGAAGATATTTTAAGAAATTTTTGAATTTTGCCCTCTGAACCCTACCAGCCCTAGCCAGGTCAGCAGGAACTCCCTTCTCCATTCCTTGATTCATGAATGAAGACACAGAGGACTGAACCAAAACAGGGTTTATTATATCTGGGCTGGGGTTTACAACAACACTGCCCTTTGGACTTTCCCAGTCCAGCTTCCTGAACTACCCAGGTGCCAGTTCTCAAGTCTAAAGAGTCTGAACCCTCTATACCCCCTCCAGGAGGGGTTTCTGTCCAGTTCCTTTGAACTGAGTCCCCACAGCAAGGCACAGAGCTCACAGCAAGGAGGGTTGATCTGTCCACACTGAGAGCCCGTCTTTCACCCAAGTCCTCACGGCCCATGGATTGTGAGATGCTGGATTTAGCATGCCCGCTGAGACGGTCTGCCAGCATCTCAAGTGGGTCACAGTACACTCCCCAGGACTAGGTTGGCTGGCATGTTGTCATTCCACTTAGGGCCTTAGGTATCCTGAGCTGGAATAACACTTTCATCCAGTGGTCACCTTTATATGTATTCCCAGTTCCTGGAAACTGCCAGTTCTTCTGGGGAATCCTTTTCTGTGTGGAAGCCTTTGATTAGATTCCCTAAGGCATTCCCTCAGGAACCCTCTTGCTCCAACTCCTTATTACATCTGGGAGCACCCCCTGCTCCACCTCCTTTCCTACTCTAGAACAATGGTTCTTAACCTTCGGTTACTCAGGTGTTTTTGAACTGCAACTCCCAGAAACCCCAGCCAGCACAGCTGGTGGTGAAGGCTTCTGGGAGTTGCAGTCCAAAAACACCTGAGTAACCCAAGGTTAAGAACCACTGCTCTAGAATGTGTCTGGGTCTCTTTCTCCAATGCCTCCCTTATATTTCCTAGTTCTCAAGGGCCCCTCTTTCCCTCTTTGGGTTGGTTCCCCAGGGATGGGCTTTCAGGCTGTGCCGATCCCTCCAGGGCTTTGGTCTGTGTTCCCTTTTCCTGTCATCCTGGTTCCTCCTTTCCCATTTACCCTAGAGAGTCCTCTGCTACCTTGGCCATCCTCATGTCAACTGGGAGCTCACCATCCAGAACTCAATAGATCTTGGGTGATGGTAAGACAACCTGCCAACAGAGGTGCCTATGCCGCTGTCCTCATGTGCCTCCCATAAACTATTTTGCAATCAAATCACTGAAATTCAAGAATCCATTACAGAATGGATCATTCATCCCTATTTAACAACTTCATATGGGTGCATGGTTTGAAGTTTAATATCAGCTTATCCATAAGACTGAAGCACTCTTGGCCACAGCACCCAAAATAGTGCACTCTCACACCACACTGAGACACACAGATTCATATATAATAGATGTGGAGCAAACAAATGGTTTATTCATATGCAAGAGGACAGGATCAGGCGCAAGGATTAGAGAATTATCAATTATTTACATCCTTACCATCTTAATGAATCAATGGCTCATAGAACCTGCAATATAAACATGAGGCAATATGGATACTTTTACAGAACTACTACACAAACATGTATAATGAGATCTCCCTCCTTCTGGGAACAGTGTCTCCCTCAGTATTTCATTAATCTTGTGTGATATGTTCCAAAAGGATGAGAAACACTATCTACTTACTTGAAAGTATGAGAGGGAGAGCCAGTGAGACTGAGAATGTGCAGGTAACCACATGATGGGAATCAAGTTCCTGACTCACTGAGTGGCAAAATGTCACGCTCTCATCTTCAGGAGTAGGGTAACCACCCCCACACGCCTCTGGAGTATCAGTGTCATAGGTGGTCTCTGAACGTGGAGAGTTGAAGTCTGCCTCAGCTGCATCTTCCTCCTCATCATGTTCCTCGAGATCTGGCTGTTTATTTGCCATCCTGAGAAAGAAAGGTTAAGAATGATGAGTTCAGGATTTCTTTTGCTTTGATAAATAAAACACACAATGACATTCAACACTAAGAGGACTGAGAGGAACATCTTTGAATATGTTTACTTGTGTCTCCCTTCCACTTAGCCCTCTGCCAACTCACAGGTTCACTGTGAGCAGACTGGATAAAAAAGAAGCAGCTTGAATTAAACTGCCATTGTCTATTCCTCATAAATCTGGTGCATCTGTCAGAAATACAGAAGAAAACACAGCACATAAACACTGTGAATGGTATTATTACTTTATATTTCTATAGTACTTCTCCTAAATGTTTTCAGTATGGTTCAGATACCTTACCAAGGACTTACCGACATTTATCCTCTGATATATTGCGCTAGTATTACACTAATACACCTGATATATGACGAATATTACAATAGTCAATACATCACTTGATGTACAAAATGAAACAGCGACGTTTCTCATATTATCTCATATACAGTGGTACCTCGCTTAACGATGAAATCGCATAGCGACGAAGAATTTGTGATCGTTTTTGCGATCGCATAGCGATGTTTTAAATGGGAAAAAATCGCTTTGTGATGATCGGTACCCTGCTTCGCTTACCGATCATCGCATAGCAATGATTTCCCAACAGCTGATCGGTAGTTCCAAAATGGCCACCGGGTAAAAAACATGGCCGCCTGCTGTGTTTTGGGATGGATTCCTCACATACCGGGCAGCGAAAATGGCCACCGTATGGAGGATTTTCGCTTTAAGGTGAGTTTTTTGCCCATAGGAACACATCGAAGGGGTTTCAACGCATTCCTATGGGCTTTTTGAAATCGCTTAGCGGTGTTTTGGGTTAGCAGCGATTTTTGCTGCAGCGATTAACATTGCTAAGCGAGGCACCACTGCAATGCTTTTTTCAAAGGAGAAAGATACATATTCATTTGAGCTTTGTCTCCCAAAGGGATAACTCTCTCAGTCCTACCTTCTAATTTGGGAAAGTATTCTTTTCTTCTTCAAGGCCAATTACAAACTATAAATGGCTAATAAAATAATAGTAGTAGATGGAAAGTCTGCTCACCCAGCAAACATTCTTGTAGACTAATACAAGAGGATATATTCCACTAGTAAGCTTCCTGATGTGAAGCAGCTCCACAATGGGTCTTAGGAGATAGTCTGGGCACCTTATGTACAGTGCCTTGAGATCCAGAGAATTAGGACTGGCTTACCTGAGGCCACTTGTAGGACTCAGCTGCCATGTGGCTTAGGCTCCCTGACCACTATTGTTGTTGTTTAGTCATTAAGGCGTGTTTGACTCTTCGTGACCCCATGGACCAGAGCACGCCAGGCCCTCCTGTCTTCCACTGCCTCCAGGAGTTGGATGACACTGTCCAACCATCTTGTCCTCTCTCATCCCCTTCTCCTCCTGCCTTCACACTTTCCCAACATCAGGGTCTTTTCCAGGGAGTCTTCTCTTCTCATGGCCAAAGTATTGGAGCCTCAGCTTCAGGATCTGTCCTTCCAGTGAGCACTCAGGGTTGATTTCCTTCAAAATGGATAGGTTTGTTCTCCTTGCAGCCCAGGGGACTCTCAAGAGTCTCCTCCAGCACCACAATTCAAAAGCATCAATTCTTTGGCGGTCAGCATTCTTTATGGTCCAAGCTCTCACTTCCATACATCGCTACTGGAAAAACCATAGGTTTGACTATTCTGACCTTTGTCGGTAAGGTGATGTCTCTGCTTTTTAAGATGCTGTCTAGATTTGTCATCGTTTTCTGCCATCAGAGTGGTATCATCTGCATAGCTGAGATTGTTGATATTTCTTCCGGCAATCTTAATTCTGTCTTGGAATTCCTCCAGCCCTGCCTTTAGCATGATGTATTCTGCATATAAGTTAAATAAGCAGGGGGACAATATACAGCCTTGTCGTATTCCTTTCCCAATTTTGAACCAATCACTTGTTCCATATCCAGTTCTGTTGCATTCTGTCCTACATATAGATTGCTCAGCAGATCGATAAGGTGGTCAGGCACTCCCTTTTTTTTAAGAACTTGCCATAGTTTGCTGTGGTCCACACAGTCAAAGGCTTTTGTGTAGTCACTCAAGCAGAAGTAGATCTTTTTCTGGAACTCTCTGGCTTTCTCC